GAATTTGTCCATTGCTCCTAGGTTGTCCATTTTATTGCTGTATAGTTTCTCATTGTAATCTCTTAATATCCTTTGTATTTCTTTGGTGTCAGTTGTAACTTCTTTTTCATTCTTGTTTTGATTTGAGCCTTCTCCCTTTCTTTATTTTTATTTTTGGTGCTGTGTATTTTTTTAATATTTATTTTTTTATTTTATATTTATTTGGTTGTGTTGGGTCTTAGTTGCAGCAGGCAGGCTCCCTAGTTGCAGCAAGTGGGCTCGCTAGTTACTGCAGGTGGGTTCCTTAGTTGCAGCTCAAGGGCTCCTTAGTTGTGGCTCACTGGCTCCTTAGTTGCAGCAGGTGGGTTCCTTAGTTGCGGCTCACCTGCTTCTTGGCTGTGGCATGCAAACTCTTAGTTGTGGCATGTATGTGGGCTCTAGTTCCCAGACCAGGGATCAAACCCAGACACCCTGCGTTGGGAGCGCGGGGTCTTAACCACCGTGCCACCAGGGAAGTCCCTCCCTTTCTTTCTTGATGAGTCTGGCAAAAGGCTTATCAATTTTGTTTATTTTTTCAAAGAACCAGCTTTTAGTTTCATTGATCTTTTCTATTTTTTTTAGTCTTTTTCATTGATTTCTGTTCTGCTCTTTATGCTTTCTTTCCTTCTACTACACGTTTTGTTTGTTCTTCTTCTTGTAATTGCTTTAGGTGTAAGGTTAGGTTGTTTATTTGAGATTTTTCTTGTTTCCTGAGCTTGTATCACTATAAGTTTTTGCTGTATCCCATAGGTTTTGGATCATCATGTTTTCATTTTCATTTGTCTCTAGGTATTTTTTGATTTCCTCTTTCAGTGATCCATTGGTTTAGTAGCATATTGTTTAGCCTCCATGTGTTTGCAGTTTTTGCAGTTCTTTTTTCTTGTAGGTGATTTCTAGTCTCATGGCATTGTGGTTGGAAAAGATGCTTGATGTGATTTCAGCTTTCTTAAATTTATGGAGACTCGTTTTGTGGCCAAGCATGTGATCTATCCTGGAGAATATTCCATGCACACTTGAAAAGAATGTGTATTTTGCTGCTTTCGGATGGAATGCTGTATATATATCAATTAAGTCCATGTGGTCTAATGTGTTATTTAAGGCCTGTGTTTCCTTATTGATTTTCTGTCTGGATGATCTGTCCATTGATGAAAGTGGGGTGTTAAAGTCTCCTACTATTATTGTTACTGTCAATTTCTCCTTTTACGTCTGTTAATATTTCCCTTATATATTGAGGTGCTCCTATGTTGCATGCATATATATTTACAATTGTTATATCTTATTCTTGGATTTATTCCTTGATCGTTATGTAGTGTCCTTCTTTGTCTCTTGTAACAGTCTTTAAAGTTTATTTTATCTAAGTATGCTACTCCAGCTTGCTTCTGATTTTTTGTTTGCATGGAATGCCTTTTTCCGTCCTCTCACTTCCGGTCTGTATGTGTCTTTAGATCTAAAGCGAGTCTCTTGTAGGCAGCATATATACAGGTCTAGTTTTTTTGTATCCATTTCAGGCAGTCTGCTTCTTCTGGTTGGAGCATTTAGTCCATTTACATTTAAGTTAATTATCACTATGTATGTTCTTATTGCCATTTTGTTAATTGTTTTGGATTTGTTTTCATAGGTCTTCCCTCCTCCTTTTCTCTTATGATTTGATGACTATTGTTAGTGTTATTTTGGGTTCCTTTTTCTTTTTTGTGCGTATATCTATTATAGATTTTTGGTTTGTGGTTACCATGTTTCTATATAACAGTCTGTATACATACCTGATTGTTTCATGTTGCTGATCTCTTAATTTCAAAAGCATTTTAAATACCCTGCATTTGTATTCTCCTCCCCTCATGATTTCTGTTTTTGATATTGTATTTTACATCAAATTGTTTTATGTATCCCTTAACTGCTTATTGTGCATACAGGTGACAGTACTACTTTTGTCTTTTAACCTCTCTACTGACTTTGTGTGTGGATGATTTCCTACCTTTGCTGTATGTTTGCCTTCACTGGTGAGCGTTTTCCTCCTGTAATTTTGTTTCTAGTTGTGACCCTTTATTTTTTCTGCCTAGAGAAGTTCCTTTAACATTTGTTTTAAAGCTGGTTTGGTGGTGCTGAATTGTTTTAGCTTTTGCTTTGTCTGTAAAGCTTTTTATTTCTCTATCAAATCTAAATGAGAGCCTTTATGCGTAAAGTATTCTTGGTTGTAGGTTTTTTCCCTTTCATCACTTTAAATATATTGTGCCACTCCCTTCTGTCCTTCAGTTTCTGCTGAAAAATCAGCTGATAGGCTATGGGAGTTCCCTTGTATGTTATTTGTTGCTTTTCCCTTGCTGCTTTTAGTATTCTCTTTAATTTTTGTCATTTTGATTACAGTGTATCTTGGTATTGTTCTTCTTTGCATTAATCCTGTATGGGACTCTGTGCTTTGTAGACTTGGGTACCTGTTTCCTTTGCCAGGTTAGAGACGTTTTCAGCTATTATCTCTTCAAATATTTTCTTGGGCCCTTTCTCTCTTCTCCTTCTGGGACCCCCTATAATGCAAATATTAATATGCTTGATATTGTCCCAGAGGTGTCTTAAACTGTCCCCATTTCTTTTCATTCTTTATCTTTTTTCTATTCAGCAGCACTGATTTCTGCTACTCTTGTCTTCCAGCTCACTGATCTGTTCTTCTGAATCATTTAGTCTATGATTAATTCCTTCTAGTGAGTTTTTCATTTTAGTTATTGTATACTTAACCTCTGGTCATTCTTTATATTTTCTAATTCTTTGTTTAAAACTTTTAACTTCTCACTCTGTGCATCTATTCTTCTCCTGAGTTCTTTGATCATCTTTATGACTATTACTCTGAACTCTTTCTCGGGTAGATCGCCTATCTCCATTTCATTTAGTTCTTCTGGAGTTTTATCTTGTTCCTTGGTCTGGAACATAGTCCTCTGCCACCTTATTTTGTCTGAGTTACTGTTTGTGTTTTTATGTCTGTGGGAGGTTAATTACATTGCTCAACCTTGGAGAAGTGGCCCTTTGTAGGAGGTATCCTATGCATCCCAGCAGTGTACTCCCCTTTCATCACCCAAGCTATATGCTCTAGGGGTTCCCCCTAAGACGGCTGCATGGGTCCTTCTCTGTGGGCAGTCTGGTGGGCTTGGTTGGTTGCTAGACCCTGCCTTGTGTAGATGCTGCTGGTACTGTTTAGTGGGGCCTTGTCACCACGCAAGGTGACAAGGTTGTGCAACCCTAGTAGGCCTCAGGGGTAGTGCTGGCTTACTGGTGGGCAGGGACAGGGTCCCAAAGACTCTGGGGCTGTTGCCCACCCACTGGCAAGTGAAGCCGGATCCTGGGGTTAGTGCTGGACTACTGGCAGGCAGAGATGGTTCCTGGAGTCTGTTTGCATGGCCCAGGGATCCCAGAGCTCGTTTCAGATCATTGGTTGGTGGGGGTGGTGGTTTCCTAATAGAGCTGGGTATGGGGTCTCTGGTGTCCAGAAGTTTGCATTGGCCTGCTAGTGGGGCGGGCCGGGCCTCAGCTGGCCCTGGGGTAGCGTCCAGCCTGCATTGTGGGACTGTAGCTTCTGGTGTCTGTCGCCTGGTTGGTGAGGCTGATCACGAGGCTAGTGCAGGCTTCCTGGAGAGAAGGGGTCAAGCCTACCCCCTGGTGGGTGGAGCTGGGTCTTGGCCCTCTGGCGGGCAGGGCCCTGTCTTGGCACGAGTCCAGAGGTGGCTGTGGGCTCAGGAAGTCGTTAGGCAGCCTGTCTGCTGATGGGTGGGGCTGTGTCCCTGCCCAGTTAGTTGTTTGGCCTGAGGCTTCGCAGCACTGGAGCCTGCAGGCTGTAGGGTGGAGCCAGGTCTTGGTGCTAATGATCCAATGTGTCAGCCACCAGTAGTGTTCATGTGGCTGAATGTTCCCCAATATGTCTGCCACCAGTGTCTGTGTCCCCAGGGTGAGCCACAGCCACCTCCCACCTCTCCAGGAGACTTTCCAAGACCAACAGGCAGGTCTGGCCCAGGCTCCTATCAAACTGCTTCTTTTGCCCTGGGTCCTGGTGTGCATGAGATTTTGTGTGTGCCCTTTAAGAGCGAAGTCTCTGTTTCCCCCAGTCCCATGGGGCTCCTGCATTTAAGCTCCACTGGCCTTCAAAGCCAATGCTATGGGGGCTCATTTCCCTGGTGCAGGAGCCCTGGGCTGGGGAGCCTGACTGTGGGGCTCAGAACTCTCACTCCTGGAGGAGAACCTCTGCAGTATAATTATTCTCCAGTTTGTGGAGTGCCCACCCGGGAGGTATGGGATTTGATTACATCACGAGTCTACTGGTGGTTCCATCTTGTGGTTCCCTCTTTGCCTTTTGTTGTAGAAGATGTTTCCTGGTAGGTTCCAGTCTTTTTCATCTATGGTTGTTCTGCAGGTAGGTGTGATTTGCTCGTAAGAGGAGGTGAGCTCAGGACCTTTCTGCTCTGTCTTGGCTGCTCTCCCTTTTAAGACATTTCTTGCCCACAGTACTGAAGCACTGACTGGGATACTAGAGAAAATGGTGGACTTCCTGGCTCTTGCTCAAAGGCAGAGGATATGCTGAGCACTGAACACAGCACCAGGCACAGTGAACAAGGAAGGAAAGGCCTTTGGCCTAATCCTGATATCCAGCTGCAAAGGGCTAACCCTGGCTTCTCCCAACACCTAGGGGTTGCTCCAGGAGAAGTGAACCTGCCCCTGGGAACTTCTCACCTATATACGCCTGATGACTGCAAGTAAAAAAAAAAGAAAAAAAGAGACCAGAACTCTCCAGCATTTCTCCTCCTTTTCCAGGTCTGGGTGGGACTTGGCAAATTCCAAGGCTGTTCCTAGAGAATGGAAAAAGCTTCAAGATTGGGGGGAGCTGCCTAACCTATTACAAATCTATTATATTGAAATTAGTTTGAAAAGATGGTTCATCAAGAAATTTCACAAGCAAAAGTCCTCAACCTACCTAAATGTCCCCTTCACATTTTCTCATTTTCCAGGTGACCTTGTACAAGGGCTCTGACATGGAGGACTTTGGGTTCAGTGTAGCAGATGGCTTGCTGGAGAAAGGAGTATATGTCAAAAATATTCGCCCAGCTGGGCCAGGAGATCTTGGTGGCCTAAAGCCCTACGATAGGCTCTTACAGGTAAGACCTCAGATGGAATTTTATTTGGAAATTAATTGGGAAGTTGTATTTGATCAGTGTCCACCCATCCTCCTTTGCCTCAAGACGAGATTAGAGGCCCCTCCTATAGAGGATAGGCACTTTTTCCTTTAGTAGAATTTACCGGTTACTGAAACGGCCTGTTTCCCTGTATATATTCCCCAGCAGATTCTAAACTTCTTGAGAACAGAGCTAGTACCTTATTCTCCCATTTCCCATTATACAGTGATCGATATCAGTATCTCACACAATGTCTAAAACCCAAAAGCTGAACCTTGTTTACTATTAAGTACTACTGGGAGTACTATGGTGGTCAGGTATAGTTTCACTGAGCAAAGCAAATTCCTAATCTTACGTACAGTTTTTAGAAAGAGCATTCTGCAGGAAGAGGAGAGGGTTGCCATCAGTCTTGAAAGTATGTTCAAGTGGATTGAGTCTGTCCCTAAACAGTTGCCTTTCAAAGCAGGAGGCTGCACTGATTGGCTGGCTTTCAGACACGTGTTCACTGAGCAAGTTGTCATTGATTGATTAGATAGTTTTAAAACCAATTCTGGTGATCTTTTTACCATGGCAGTATAACAATTACTCTTGTCCTAAGAGTAAGGAACACGTTTATTTTCCATAGATACTCTAGTATTTGCTGAATAAATAACTATGGACAAGTTATTTGACCTGTCTTCCTAATCTATAAATTAGAGCTATACTTACTTTTATGGAAGATGAGGCTATAAAAGTAGACTGGACTCACATTGTGAAGGGCCTTGAAAGCCAAGATAAAGCTCTTGGACTTGATTCTGGAGGTATATTAATTTTCTAAGCAGAATAATGACATATTTTATAATTTAGAAAGACTAAAATTATATCATAGGTGGATTGGTGTAGGGTGAAGGGGAGGATCACAGGGAAGACGACCAGGTAGGTAAGGGTAAGACACGTGTACCAGACCTGAGTCTTTAATGCTTTCAGTGCATCCTGGCAGAGCAGTCTGTGAGGCAGCCGGCAGCCTGCATTTGTTGCTCAGGACAGATGTTACAGCCAAAAGTAAAGATCTGGGATACTGAAGGCATGGACTTGGATAAAGTTGCCTATGGTGGATTTCTAGTAAGGAAGAGAAGAGAACTAAAGACAGAATTCTAAGAAAAACAAAATTTAAAGGACAGGAAGAAGTAAAGGCAGGAAAGGACTGAAAGTGAGCAGTTAAAATGGTAAAAAGGTCAAAACAAAGTGGTGTCATAAGAGCCAAGGAAGGAGTTTTAAGGATGAGTAGGTAAAGGCCAAAAGGGATGAGAACTCAAGACACCATTCCTGTGTTGGACAATTGGGGTCATTTATATAATATATAAGGGTCAGGTCCCAGACCGAGAAGATTGGGGAGAGAGTGAAAAGTCAAGGAATGGAAGCAGCATGCAGATGATTCTTTAAACTTTTAGGGGGAAAAGAATAAGGAAACATAATCTCATACAGAGTGAAGAAAGAGAAAAACAAATACTGTATGCTAACATATATATGGAATCTAAAAAGACAAATGGTTCTGAAGAACCTAGGGGCAGACAGGAATAAGATGCAGACGTAGAGAATGGACTTAAGGACACAGGGAAGGGGAAGGGGAAGCTGGGATGAAGTGAGAGTGGCATGGACAGATATACACTACCAAATGTAAAATAGACAGCTAGTGGGAAGCAGCCGCATAGCACAGGGAGATCAGCTCGGTGCTTTGTTACCACCTAGAGGGGAGGGATAGGGAGGGTGGGAGGGAGACACAAGAGGGAGGGGATACGGGAATATAAGTATACGTATAGCTGATTCACTTTGTTACACAGCAGAAACTAACACAACAATGTAAAGCAATTATACTCCAATAAAGATGTTAAAAAAAATAAGGAAACATGAAAGAAGATGAACGCATGTGTAAGCTGAGGAGGGGGTGGGCTCATGACCGAGAGAGGTAGTTCAGTATCATGGTCAAGAGCACGAGCTTTGGAATCATCCAGACTGCCTGAGGTTACATCCTCGCTGGACCACTCACCAGCATCCTAGCTGGACCACTTGCCAAGTTCTGATCTCAGGCAAATCTCTTAAACACTATGTGCCTTACTTTCCTCATCTGTAAATTAGGGATAATATTTGGCACTTGGAGCACCTGCCATGAATAAGGCGATCTGCTCAGCATGGGGACATTGGGATGTGTCCCTGTTCCCTGCTCTCAAGGGCCTTACAATTTAGTAGCAGAGAGTAAAGTAAGCCAATACCCATGTTATAGTGTGGTCAGGGCCAGGATAGACCTCTCTGTACAGAGTGCTCATTTAAGCACTTTCAAGACTTTAATCAATCAACCTGTTATGTCTGAAATGTTACTCTGGGTTTTGGGAATCATCTTATGTCTATAACAATAATTCAAAATGGCGCTTCTTGACCTTTCAGGTTAATCATGTCCGAACGAGAGACTTTGACTGCTGCCTTGTTGTGCCCCTCATAGCAGAATCTGGTAATAAGCTGGACCTGGTTATTAGTAGAAGCCCCCTGGCTTCACAGAAGTCCGTAGAACAGACTCTACCAGGAGGAGAATGGAGTGAACAGAGCAGTGCTTTTTTCCAGCAGTCGAGCCACGGTGGTAATTTGGAGATACGAGAACCCACTAATACATTATAGCGATGCTTTTTACAAAGCAGGATAAAAGACAATATCTACATGGTGCTAAAAAAAAAAAAAAAAAATCCCTTTAAGATTTCTGTGACATTTGAAGCACAGATAATCACGTGGCATTAACTGCAAGCACAGGGGTCTTTTAAATCTCATGGCTCATGTTCACTTACCCTTTCAAGTTGAAGAGGTTTCTTTGATTGGTGATCACTATGGTATATGACAGGCAATCCCCTGCCAAGACCAAGGGTAGCGAAAAAGAAAAACAAGTAGGCCACCCCTCTCTACAATTAACATCAGAGGAAATTTTTTACAGGTCCATCTTCCTATTCCTTTTTAAAAAGAGAAATATCTGTTTGAAAATGTTCTCTATGATAATTTCCTTAATTCACTTTGAAATGAGTTTCTTACTACAAAGTCATTCATGCGAGAATTTAACCAACAAGGCTTTTCATAAAGCTGGCTGTACTAGGAGAGCTAGTTTGGTGAACTGCTGGGACTGCTGCTATGGGAGGGGTACAGGTATAAAATCATCTTACAACGTTTCAGCAATGATGCACGTAGGCAACCATAATAGGTGGTGGTAAATGTTTTGCCCAAGTATAGGAATGATTTTAACTAAGATGTATGCTATTCCCTATGCAACAAATTATCAAACAGGATATGTCTTGTGACCTGTTTTTTTTTTTAAGGACACATTTTTAATAGCTGAAAAATCTCTGATAATGAATTAGGGTGTTTAGCAACACTGAGAATTAGCTATCTTATTTTTAAAATTCAAGACTAAGAATTTGAGAATGAAGAGTCTATTAAAATGAGGTTTATCTTGATTGATAGGCAAATCAAACTCATACTGCTTGACAGACATGTTTTGAAAACTGATTATATTGAGGGGTGTACAGCACATGTACTTAAAAATGACACTGGACTGTCTTTTGTTCTGAGCCATGCCACTTACCGAAATTGTAAATACATTTTTCACAAAATGCATTGCCAATTATTACCATCCCTCAAAGCAATAAATTGTGACAGTTGCTTTTAATGTTTGTCAGCAACTGTTTTCATTTGTTCAGATATTTTGAATAGTTACACTAATAACTGTTATTTGGTGAATATAAAAAAAATAGATCTGTATATTAATTGTAGAATCTCCATACTGAAACAATTATTTTCCAAACATTTTTATTTTGGTCAATAATTCAAACAACTGCTTAGGTAAAGCATTTGAACACTGTGTCCTTTGTTTAAGGAAAAAGTTCACCTTTCTTTTTTGTGCAAAGAAATATATTATTTCAATCATAGTTCAGAACTGCCAGGGCAAGAAAGTATAAAGCAGAATCATGTTAAGGAAAAAAAAAAAGATCCTGAGGGGAGTCACTGAAATATGTATTTTTATTTGTAACAAACAAGTATTAAACTGTAAAGTATTTTTGTACAAATTTAATACTTTAATAGCATGGTATTTATCGTCTATGTATGGTTTTGGGGAATTAAAAATTGTTGCAAATATTTGTATGGAAAAAAAAACCCTCTACCAAATGGAATAAACAGTGATTTTAAAAAGCCAAAAGAAAAACTTTTTTTTTTTTTTTGGTGCTTTGAATATATTTGAGTGTTCTAGACTGAGCCCTACACAATACCTATAGTTTAGTTACATAATTTTCTACAGGGGCAAGATTTTGCCATAAACTTGAAAAGGAACATGGAAGAGCAGGAAGAGCTTAGGTTTTGAAATTCGATCTGGACTTGAAGTCCAGCTCTGGTACTCACTCAGTGGTGGCATAAAATTTAATTACTGTGAGTCAGTTTCCCCACCTATAATACTGAAGGTCATATCTACATTCCAGTACTTTCATGAGAAGAGATGTGACACATATGTGAAGATGCTAAAACAGGAACACCTCCAAGACTAATGGTACATTTACTTTAGGTGACAAAGCTTGATCTTAACTCAAGGATCACATCTACCCTGAGAACATTATATGTATTCTATAAAATACATTTTCAGAAACTATTAAAATGTATAAATTTTCATCATGCTATCTTAAAAAAGAAAAAAACTATTACCTTATAGTCCCAACGTTTTCATTTTTGCAGATTGCCTAGCAGGCTTTGTAAATTCACAGGAACAAGGCAGGGTGTCCATTCTTGCCACTTCTATTTAACAGTATGACAAGGAAGTGAAATAAAAGGCAACTAGATTGGAAAGGAAGAAGTAAAACTCTACTTGCAGATGATACAATCTTGTGTATACAGAAACCTTAAGGAATCCACTAAAAAACCTATTAAAACTAATATGAGTTTAGCAAGATTACAAGATACAAGATCAATATACAAAAATCAATTGAATCTCTATACTGTAGCAATGAACAAACCAAATATAAAGAAAACAGTTATATTCTATAAAGCACAGGAAGCTCAGCCTGGTGCTCTGTGATGACCTAGTCGGGTGGGATGGGGGTAGGGTGGGAGGGAGGTCCAAGAGGGAGGGGATATATGTATACGTATAGCTGATTCACTTCATTGTACAGCAGAAACTAACAACACTGTAAAGCAATTGTACTCCAATTAAAAAAAAGAAAACAATTATATTCTCATAGGATCAACAATAAAATACTTAGGAATAAATTCAATAAAAGTACAGAGTAGGTGTGGAAGACGGCAGAGTAAAAGACCCTGAGCTCACCTCCTCTCATGAGCACACCAAAGTAACAACTATCTACAGAACCACCATCTGTGAAGAAGCCTGGAACCTACCAGAAAAGATCTTCTACAACTAAAGATATAAATAAGGTACCACAACAAGACGGACAGGAGGGGAAGACTTGAAATATAATCAAATCCCATACCCCACAAGTGGGTGACCCACAAACTGGAGAATAATTATACTGTAGAGGATCTCCCAGAGGAGTGACAGTTCTGAGCCCCACATCAGGTTCCCCAGCCTGGGGGTCTGGCACTGGGAAGACAAATCCTCAGAGCATTTGGCTTTGAAGGCCAACAGGCCTTCACTGCAGGAGCCCCACAGGACTGGGGGAAAGAGAGACTTCACTTTTCAAAGGGCACACACAAAATCTCACACGCACCAGGACCCAGGGCAAAATCAGTAATTTGATAGGAGCCTGGGCCAGACCTGCCTGCTGGTCTTGTAGACTGTCCTGGAGAGGCAGGGGGATGGCAGCAGCTCACCCAGGGGGACACAGACACTGGTGTCAGACATTGAGGAACATTCAATTGTGTGAACATTCCAGGTGGCTGACATGTTGGATCATTAGCACCAAGATCTGGCCCCATCCAACAGCCTGAAGGCTCCAATGTTGGGATGCCACAGGCCAAACAACTAACTGGGTGAGGACACATCCCCACCCATCAGCAGACAGGCTGCCTAAGGACTTCCTGAGCCCACAGCCGCCTCTAGACATGCCCCTAGACATGGCCCTGCCCGCCTGAGGGCCAATATCCAGCTCCACACACCAGTGGGAAGGCACCAGCTCCTCCCACCAGGAAGCCAGCCCAAGCCTCTAGACCAGCCTTACCCACCAGGGGGCAGACTCCAGAAAGAAGAAAGCTACGATCCTGCAACACAGGCCAGACCCCACCCTAGGACTCGTTGGCCCCCTGCCCTGCCCACTAGCAGGCTAATACAACCTTCCAGACACTCTGGACCCATGACCAACTGTCAGGAATGGCCCCTGACAACACCAACAATCTGAAATGAGCTCTGAGATCCCTGGGCCCTGCAGTCAAACTCCAGGAAACACCCCTAACTGCTAGTAGTCTGGTACTACTCCCAGGGTCTGGCTTCATCTCTCAGTGGGCGGGCAACAGCCCCAAAGTCTTTGGGACCCTGATTCTGCCCACCAGTGTGCCAGCACTAGCCTCAGGGCCCATTAGGGTTCCACAACCAGCCACCTCATGACCAGGCCCCTCTAAAGAGCAGCCAGCAGCATCCACGCAAGGCAGGGCTGTGCAAACAACCAGACTAGGAACCAACCAAGCCTACCATACCACCCACATAGCCAGCCAAAACAGAAAGATCCATGCAACCCTCTTAGGGGGAACATCTAGAGCATACAGCTTGGGTGACGGGTGGAGTGCACTGCTGGGACGCATAGGACATCTACAGAGGGCCACTTCTCCAAGGATGAGAAACGTAACTAACTTACCTCGTACATAAAAATATAAATAGCAATAGATAAAATGAGGTGGCAGAGGACTATGTTCCAGACCAAGAAACAAGATAAAACTCCAGAAGCAGAATTAAGTGAATAGGCAATCTACCCAAGAAACAGTTCAGAGTAATGATCATAAAGATGATCAAAGAACTCAGGAGGAGAATGGATGCACAGAGCAAGAAGTTAGAATTTTTTAACAAAGAATGAGAGAATATAAAGAACAACAAAACAGAGATGAAGAGTACAATAACTGAAATGAAAAATACACTAGAAGGAATCAGTAATAGACTACATGAGGGGCTTCCCTGGTGGCACAGTGGTTGAGAATCTGCCTGCTAATGCAGCGGGCACAGGTTCGAGCCCTGGTCTGGGAGGATCCCACATGCCGCGGAGCAACTAGGCCCGTGAGCCACGGCTGCTGAGCCTGCGCGTCTGGAGCCTGTGCTCCGCAACAAGAGAGGCCGTGGTAGTGAGAGGCCTGCGCACCGCGATGAAGAGTGGCCCCCGCTTGCCACACTAGAGAAGGCCCTCGCACAGAAGTGAGGACCCAACACAGCAAAAGTAAATAAATTAATTAATAAACTCCTACCCCCAACATCAAAAAATAATAATAGACTACATGATACAGAAGAGTGGATCAGTGACTGGAAGACAACATAGTAGAAATCACTGCTGCTGAACAGAAAAAAGAGTGAAAAGAAATGAAGACAGCTTAAGACACCTCTGGGAAAACATGAAGCACATTATTATTTGCATTATAGGGTTGCCAGAAGGAGAAAAGAGAGAAAGGGCCCAAGAAAATATTTGAAGAGAGAATAGCTGAAAACCATCCTAACCTAGGAAAGGAAACAGTCACCCAAGTCCAGGAAGCACAGAGTCCCATGGAGGATTAACCCAAAGAGGAGCACACCAAGACACACTATAATCAAAAGGACAAAAATTCAAGAGAGAATACTAAGAGCAGCAAGGGAAAAGCAACAAATAACATACAAGGGAACTCCCATAGCCTATCAGCTGATTTTTCAGCAGAAACTCTGCAGGCCAGAAGGGAGTGACACAATATATTTAAAGTGGTGAAAGGGAAAAACTGACAACCAAGAATACTCTACCCAGGAAGACTCTTATTTAAAAGATTTGATGGAGAAATCAAGCTTTACAGACAAGTGAAAGCTAAAAGAATTCAGCACCACCAAACCAGCTTCACAACAAATGTTAAAGGAACTTCTCTAGGCAAAAAAGAAAAGGCCACAGCTAGAAAAAAGAATTATGGAAGGAAAAAGTCCACCAGTAAAGGCAAACGTACAGTAAAGGTAGGAAATCATCCACACACAAAGCTAGTAGGGAGGCTGAAAGATAAAAGTAGTAATATCACCCGTATCCACAACAAGCAGTTAAAGGATACCTAAAACAATTAGATGTAAAATATATCAAAACAGTAATAGTGAGGGGAGGAGGGTACAAATGCAGGGTATTGAAAATGCATTTGAAATGAAGAGAACAGCAACATAAAACAATCAGGTATGTATACAGACTGCTATACAAAAACTTCATGGTAACCACAAACCAAGAATCTATAATAGATAAACACACAAAAAAGAAAAAAGAATCCAAAATAACACCAAAAATAGTCATCAAAGCATAAAAGGGAACAAAAGAAGAAAGGGGAAGAAAAAGACCTACAAAAACAAATCCAAAACAATTAACAAAATGGCAATAAGAGCATACATAGCAATACTTACCTTAAATGTAAACAGACTAAATACTCCAACCAGAAGACACAGACTGCCTGAATGGATACAAAAACAAGACCCGTATATATGCTGCCTACAAGAGACTCACTTTAAATCTAAAGACACATACAGACAAAGTGAGGGGATGGAAGAAGGTATTCCACAAAAATGGAAATCAAAAGAAAACTGGGGTAGCAATACTCACATCAGACAAAATAGACTTTAAAATAAAGACTGTTGGGCTTCCCTGGTGGCGCAGTGGTTGAGAGTCCGCCTGCCAATGCAGGGCACGCGGGTTTGTGCCCCGGTCCGGGAAGATCCCACATGCCGCGGAGCAGCTGGGCCTGTGAGCCATGGCCGCTAAGCCTGCGCTTCCAGAGCCTGTGCTCCGCAACGGGAGAGGCCACGACAGTGAGAGGCCCGCGTACCGCAAAAAATAAAAAATAAAAATAAAAAAAAAATAAAGACTG